TTCAAAGAAAGCTGGACCGCTAAGGTACTTTACATACAGCGTGCTCCTTTCTGCTTCCTCTTGTGTACTTTCAATACAGCAAACCTGGATGAAGGCCCTTGTTAGGAACTGCTTGACCACTATAGATACACCTTGTTCTGTAATCTCTTCAAGTAAAGCTTGCGAAAAAGAGCATTTAGCGCTAAACAGCTTGTTGGTTACTTTAGGTATTAAGTCATAAACTCACAGGTATCAAAGTATAAGCAGATAATTATTTCAGTCTTTCTTCTCCCTTAGTCTTATTTCAGTCCAGTCTTCCACTATTAGCTTTTCTAGTGGTCATTCTGTTTCCCTAGCTGTTTCTATCCTCTTTCTTTCCTACTGGTTTTGACATGGGTGACCAAGAAAAATGCAGGATAATTATGTAGGCATATTAAGAAAGTGACAAGAAATCATACATACGTATCTGCTTTATTGCTACAGGACTCAACTTTCATAAAAGTTCAGTCAGTGACTGCCTGTTAGAGAACTGAAAACACAAAATATTGTGCATAAGTTACTTAAAACCACCTTTGTTAGACTGTAACAGGGCTTTCATGAGCAAGTGTTTGAGTGGACTGTCACGGTTTTTTTGCAGTATTCTCCCAGCTTTATCGCACATATGTCTTGTTTATTGCCACGAAGATTTCACACTTTCTGTGTACCTGTTAGCTGAATTAATTCTCTGTATAGCTGAACTCAGAGCAGTAGTTCACCTTTGATTCAAATTTTCTGCTGGTGTGAACATAATTTCCAGATAGAGATTCAGAGATTAGGCCTACTGCTTAGATTTGTTTACAGTAAGTTTTAAAAATGAGGATTTGAGTTTCATACTATGTTTAGTATTCTCTAAAATGGAGGCATATGTCCTCCATGGTCTAAAATGCTACCACATGATTTGCTTTTTTCCTAATTACATAATTACTCTAGTAACAGGAACAGATCCTCCTCCTCCTAAATACCTGGTAGTAGGCAAGACTTCAATGGTTAAATAATATCCATCTGAACTTTTACTCATTACTGTCTCTATGCCACATTCTGCAGAATTTAGTGGACTTTACTGGAATTTGTACTGCTATATATGAGGCCAGAATTTAAACCAGTTTAATTTTTAAAACTGTTCTGCATGAAAAAAATGGCACACACTATGAAGTTGTCTTTAAAAGCTTAAAATGCAGCTGAAACAACAAAAAGGTTTGCATCTGCACAGAATGTTTATCATCATCAGGACAAATGTGAATTTTTAGCAGGTTTATTCTCATTACTCCCTCTTCAGTTAAAAGTTTTTATTAAAAATGTTGACAAAGATCTAAAAATAACCAAATGCTCTTGGAACACATGCCTTGGTTAATGTATCAGAAACCTGTAGTGCTAACAAAGGGAGCCTCATTAGTCTTTCTGCTATATTAATATTGTCCTTTAACTTTTTTAATAGTTTTGTTTAAGCACCACAGATTTACCTTTCATGGAGAGGATATGCTTATGAAAGATGAAAGTACCTTTTGGATGCCTTAAGGAGCCTCTGACCTCATGAAAGGAGGATCAAAACTGAAAAAGATAAAATACAAATATAATAAAATACCCACAGAAGATAGTAGTATGAGAAAAGGCCTAACTTTTGAACGCTGCACATGTAGGTTAACAGAAACGCATATTGACTGGGTAAAGATTTCTTAGTCTGCTACAGAAGTCCACAAGACTAGTTGTACATCATTACTACAATAAGAAAGTTTGCAGGTTAAGAAATATTCCTCACAGAAGTAAATGAGAGGTTGACTGTGGGGAAAGCTGAGTTGTATGGAATGGAGCTGACAGTTAAGCTTTATTTCAGACAGATGTTTTTTAGCCCACAGTTGGCAGTGATTCACAATGCAGAACAATGACCTTATTTGTAACATCAGTATTTTGGGAAGGCTAGGCTGAGAGATAGTAAATTGTCTTCTTTTCCATTACAAAAATAAAACTGTTTGTGTTCCTTCAGTTTAACAATTATGAATTTAATGGTTAACAGTTAAATGCAGCTTTTTAAATTTGCACACCACACAGTTTTCTTCCGATACTGTTTATCCCCAAAAAGCAAGATGAAAAAGGAACTATCGTTCACACCTTGTGCAGTTCTTACATTTGCTGGATCTCAAACAAAGGAAGTTCTTTGCAGCTTTGTCAATAATTTGTTTTAAATGTGCCAAAAAATCTGAAAAGAATCAGAAGTTTTGCATATGCTTCATGGCTTCTTACCGTGTAATCTTTCATGTTATTGTACAAGTCTAGGTGGGCTTCATCTGTGCTAGCACGTTGTAGCCTCTGAGTTTACTACAGAGCAGATTTACTGAGGTCAGCAGAAGATCCAGCCATCTAAATAAATAAAATGGTCTAACTGTAAAGAATTGCAGGGTTTTAGTGAGTGATTTCCAGCTCCTTCCAGTTTCCAGCCTCCCTTTCCCACTGTTCACTCTCTTGCTACTTGTTTCTTTCAGGTCTGTCTTAACCTAAATCCATTCCAGGTGCTGCTGTTCAGCTTGATACCATAAACTGTGGGATTCCCTTCTGGGTACCAATATAAGTAATGGCTCAGATATAATTGTTCCCACCCTGCACTTAGCACCTTCCTCAGAAGGTACCATGGTAACTTTCACATCCATCCTGATAAACAGCATTGAGTTCACCCCACTCTCAATGTCAGTTACAGAAAACTGCAATTACTCACTGACAGTCAGAACACTGAATTTTATTTTGCTTTACTTTACAAATCAAGGCAACTATACTTGCTCCAATTCTTTTAAGCCTAAAGTCAGATTAGTAATAAACTGCAAAGTATCAAAAGGAGTGGAAACATACTGAATTATATTATGGAAAGGCTAAGGCCTTGAAATCCTATAATCTAGGAGATGTTCATGCATCAGAGAGAAACACTTATTATAATAATTTAATTGAGAACAAGAATGTGCATTAGTAATGTAATAAATAAAACTAAATAAACTTTTTGTAATGGAATGACAAAATGTTTAAGTTAGAAAGCCTCTAATTTTCACCTTATCCAAAGAGAAAGTCAGGGATCTCAACTAAAATTAGTCTTTCTTCCTGAAAGCCTTCCAATTTTAGTGTGCTGTAAAATTATGTGGTTTATTTGTGGTTCAGAAGAGAAGAGCACAGAAGTACAAGGATAAGCACAGAAGCTAGAAGTTTAATCTAGTTCACAGGACAGTGTGGTTACTGCCAGTAAACAACTTGAATAACTGCAGTGAGGAATCTACATAATTACTATACCAGTGAATTACTTTTTTAGAGAAATGCTCGCTTTCCCTTCATACTGACTTGTATGAAGTTCCCTTTAAAGTCCTTTGCTTTCCTTGGGCTCTGAAAAACAGATCCAAGTTACCACAGATGATATCTATGTTAGGTATGTCAGAGTAAGTCCAAAGCAACCACCCAGTTTCATTTTCCTCCAAATGTTAAGAGCTAGAGCCTGCATTAGAAACTGGAATCAGTACTAAGCAAAGATCTGAATTCCGCTTTCATTGTTATAAGGAGTTCTGGGGTTTGCAGTCCATGAAGACTGGCAGTAAAAAAACATCATGCTTAAACAGCTCTGTTGTTCTCTTACGTTCATTTTACTTTTTCAAAAATCTAAACCAACATCCTGGATCGAGAAATCATTTTTATTGCTTAACTATCCTGCAGGTACAAAAGCTTGGACTTTAACTGACTGTCTCTAAAGGGAAAAACACATACTTTAATCTCCCAATTCATGGAATTATGTCCAGAAATTTGAAATCAAATTTTATCACAGATTGTTTCTATACTAAAAAGAATCACCTAAAATATCATTTAGACAGAACTTTGTAAGAATAAGACTAGATATGTAATCTGACTTGGTTTATTGTCACACAGATTCCATTCCACTTAAATCCAAAAGGAGACAAGCCAACAAAGACAGTAAATGGAACTGGTCTGTTGATGTCCTTAGTACGTAAATCATAGTAGTAGTTGTTTCCTAGTTCAGGTAAATCTTCTTTGTTACTCTCTGTGCACTGATTTACTTACATGGGCAGCTTTAATTTATGAAGCTTCTTGGCTGGTGATCTTAGTACATTTGAAAGCTCAGATTTAACCCATGTGCCAAAAGCAGAAAGAACTACTTACGGAAAGCTTTTAAAGATGATCAGGACATGTGGATACCTAGGTCTACCATAGATATGCTGCAGGACCTGTGAATGAATTTTTACCCTTTGTTTAGCTTCTTTACCTGTAAACCAGGATTCTTCCCTACTTTATGAGCTGCTCCATAGGGAAAATAATTAAAAATAGCATAGTATCAGCATGTCTTGGCAAGGACAGTCTAACTAACAGCTGAAGCCTAACAAAGTATCTCTTCTCGGTGTTGGTTTAATGTCATTTTAGTAAAAACCTTCCTTTAATAACATGCTGAGTTCAAGTAACAAACTTGAGTCTGGCAGGAATACAACCTTCATATGCTATTTTTCAGCAGATGAAAATCCAGACAGATTTAGAGAGATGCAAAATGCAAAAAGGTCACTGTAGCCAAATTTCAGATCCGGTAAGGAGGCAATGTTTTGGATATTCTGTCACAGCTAGCAGGAAGGGTATTTCCTTCACCCACAAGCAGATGAACTTTAGAGAGAGCTATGGCATAATCTGGCTTCTGACTGCAGAAGCATAAACTGTTACAGTCTTTCTTGGTGAGGAATTGCTCCAATTTATAGAATCAATTTTGGATCAAATTGACCCCTCCTCATAGAGTGTTCAGGACTCATGCCACTTTTTTTTTTTTTTTTTTATACATCTATCAGGTTCATGCTCAGCTATACATTAGGGAAAAACAGGCTTAAATACCTTACCTAAATGTCAACCAAATGAATACCTTTAATGATAATTTATTATCTTCCATAAATATGTATAGAAATAGAAGCAAGTGACAGACTCCTAAAAATTACCTAATCACTCCATTTGGAATGCACTAGGTTGTTGGCGTGGCTCAAGCAATCAATAAGAAATCTGGAATTGGTGGCACTTTCACAGAACAAGATGAAAAGGTATAAAAGCTGGCTGTTTGTCTTTTCTGTTTTCCCAGGGGAAATGGGGATGGATGTGTTATTACTTTTTGCCCCAATCAGAAATTTTAAAGTTATAAAAAATTAAACACGTCTGAAAGAATAAAAATTCCTGGTAATACTGCAGATTTATTTCTTTATGAGGCCATGAGAAATGTGGATATGAAATAGTTTAATTTCTGGGTCAGCATAGTATCTCTCATACATCTCTGAAACACAGGCTTACTCTACTAAGATGTACTATAAAGCGATTTCATAAATTTCAATAGATATAATTTTTTATTAATTGATTCCAACTCTCCTGGCATCCCCAACAAACATATTTTGAATATTAAAAATATTCAGAATATTTTTTATTGTTTGATTCCTCTGATATGCTTCTTATACCAGTCCTGCTTTTACCAGGATAAACTGTGAAGATCATTTGTTTAAAAAAGGGAGACAAGATTCTTGAGGGAATAACTGAAAAAAACCCAAACCTGAATGTGTGTTTGCTAAAAACAACCAAAAAGTATCAATTAATACTTCAAAGTGAAACCATAAAACTGCAGTAGTTTATCTTTGAATAGAGTTAAGATGCTGTGAAACATTATCTTTACAAGGTCTGATGTTCATTTGTCTTCAGGATTTTGCTGCATATTTGACATTTTGTGGAATTGTTCTTCACAACGCTCAATTGTATGAGACATCTTTGCTTGAGAACAGGCGTAATCAGGTATTGTTGACAGGTTTGTCATAAGAGTACAGATATTATGGTGGTTGGCTAGTAATCACTGCCTCCTACTCATAGTTCTCATATGGTAGCTATCATTGGCTATTGTCAATTATTCTAATTGAACGCTGTGTATCTCTGATAAAGCTCTAACTAACTTGCACTGAGCAGTAGCTGGGCACATTCCACCTTGGGCTGTGAAAAGTGGACTGTGTTGGGGAAGAAGGTAAAGCTACATGTTAGAAAATTCATTTCATGTCAGTATGCTCGATAATTGCCTGAAGTTATCCCGTGTCTCACTGTATGTATTATACAACCAGAGGTGTGCATACTCTGTACATACTACAGAGATTTCAGAAGAATTATCCCTATAGCACAGTAGAGGTTATACAGATTGCTCTTTTAGTCTACTACAACAATAAATAGTCACTAAGCATGTTTTTGGTAATAACCAGATGGAAAACTGAATTTCCTTCTGATTAGTGTAACTGTATTTTGCAGCCACCTTTATAACTGATGGGTTATTAATGCCATGGACTTTATGGGAGGATATGCCTGCTATATACGGTATGAAAAGATTCTGGAGAAACAACTAGGCAGCAGTTGTTTTAAAAATTTTCTGGTAGGTCTGAGTTTCCAAGTGACCATCGGTGTCTGTAAATCAGTGCAGATTTGGATAATCTTTTCAAATTGACTCCATGCTTCTTTTGAGGAAAAAAAGAACATAATATGTGCACACCTAAGCAGCTGACTCCTTCAGTGGCAGCTCTGAAATACAGCAGACTCTATCTAAATGATGTTTTCACCAAATTCATTCATTCAAGTTTGTTACAATCTGTTAGAATTACAGCAGATAATAATTACGTTCAAAACTCCTAAGAAATGTAAATACTGCTGTTTCTAGAATGCACACGTGAGCCACAGGAAACTATTAGGTTTCCTAAGGACAAATAACTTTTGTCTGGGTTTCTCAGGTTTCATTTGATGAACTGTTAATGCTTAAATCTATTCTATATCTCTTTGACTGAAGACATCAGACATATACCTATGCTATTTATTTCTTTCATCAAGCATCAAACTGGCTATTATTTACTGTTACCTTGCAGTCTGTGTGAGAGCCAAAACTTAATTTTGGTCACAGTCATACATGTTAACTCTCATGATTCAGGCAAGAGGAAAAGAATCAAAGACAGTAGAAATGGTAATTATTGCTTAAATCACAATTAGTCAAAATCTCACAAAAGACTTTTTCCCCAGGTGCTTCTTGATCTTGCCAGTCTGATTTTTGAAGAGCAGCAATCTTTGGAAGTGATTCTGAAGAAGATAGCTGCCACTATAATATCCTTCATGCAAGTGCAGAGGTGTACCATCTTCATAGTGGATGAAGACAGTACTGTGCGTATGTTTTTTTTCTGAAGGCATAAGTGCTTATTCCCTGGGAGCAGCATAGGCTTCCTTCCATTCTGACTCAATAGTATTTCAAACCCATAGTATGTTCTGTTGCCTTTTTGTCTGTCTTTTCTTTTACAGTATCTGCTCAGGTTAGCTGTTGACTTGGAAGGCTTTGGTCTTTGTGTAGGCTAGACTGCCATTTTAAGCAGCCATTTTGACAAACAAAGCAGCAACCTTTTGACAAACTCTGGCTCTGAGCTCTCTCAAATTCTTTCATATCTCATTTTCTTGGCTACAGGTATATGATGGAAAGAAGGAGAATGCTGGGGAGAAAAACAATATAGCCTTTGCTTCCTGTGCAGAATCAGTTTTGATAGTACTTTTTATTTATTGAGTATGTCTAAGCAGGGAGTATCCAAACAAGGTGTCTAAACAGAATCATGACCTATCCCAAGACTGTGGCTCACTGAAGCAAAGCAAAACTGCTTTGCAATTCTCCCACCTCTATTTCCTTCCTATTGAAAATAGGCAGCAGAAAAAGGAGCAGAATACAATGCTTGTATTGTACGGGCTTTGCTAGTTTTATCTTTACTACTTGTTACAGATGCAGGTGTACTAAGAACCAGAAGTAAGGACGCATTTCCAGGTTCTGTAATATAGAAGTAACACACAATACTTGCGATCATCTGCGACAATTCCATCTCTCAATGTAGAAAAGTCACTTGTGCACACAAGGTTACAGAAGAGGAATCTGGATAGTTTTTGTATTAACCTATTCAAACTGTCCCTGCAAGTTAGGTAAACTCCAGCACCTAGTTTGCAGTCTGTAGTTTGAATCTTTTGTATAGAGAGAATCTAAATTTTCTCTACATTTACACTTCTCAACTATTAAAAAAAGCTGGATGAAAAGGTCAGTCAATATGTTTAAAATGTTTTGATATCCTCACCTGTCAAAGCAAAGCTGGTCTAGAATGTTGAAATAAAGAAGTTCTGTGTTGTCAGATTGGGCACGGCCTATAAACACAGTCTTTTCTTCTCAGAGTGTCAGTAGAGATTTAAGACACTTCAATAATATGTAAAGTTGTATCAGGAGGTATTTTTGTGGTAGGATCATGTCTGCTTGCTGCTGGATGAAGTTAAGTAATTTTACTCTTGTCTTTGTTACAGATTAGGCTTTGATAACTGCAACAAGCTTTTCATGAATAGTACTATTCTAACTTATGGCAATCTGATACTCCTGTATATTAATATATCCTCCTGGTATTCCAGGATTCATTTTCCAGTGTCTTTCACATGGAATCCGAGGAGTTGGAAATTAGAGCTGAAAATCTGAAGAGGTAAAACAATGAATTAAAGCTTTTGTACATCCCAGCAGAATGTTGAAGAAACTATGATTATTATTATTTTTTTTTCCATAATAACAGACCTTATTTCTACTGGGTACCATGTATTACTGCTATATTCACAGAGTAGGTTTTGTCCTGAAATATACATAGACAAGCATTATTGCCTTAAAAAGGTCTGAGCAATACAGGAGTGCGGGGCCTGATCACTTTGTCAGGTCTAAGTACATAGTTGTATTGCAAAGCTGAAGTATGGAAATGTGCAGAATGTGTGAAGATGTGGGAATCTAAATTGGTGGGCTGCTCTAATACTGATCTGTGAGAAATCTGTGTAGATAACTGTGTTGTAGCCACATTAATAGATACAAATTCTATTTATGATTTTCATCAATTATTTTAATCATTACTTATATTTCATGGATAGTGAAACTGACTCAAAGAACAAGACTGACTAAATCAAGAATAAAGTTCTAACTTTTTGAGAAACCATTATAAAGTTCAACTGGGAGGAAGGAAAAGATGTAAGCACAGTTGAATTGAAATAAACAGATTATATAGTTTCTAAATCTAGCGTGAACCTTGGTATTGAAGTTTGAAAATTACTGTCTCCATTACTTTTCTCTGTCATCAAAACCAGTTGTTTCAAATAATGTCAAAAGAGTGAGACACATTTGTATATAAAATAGACTACTCAAAGATAGGGTGCAGAGAGAAAATGGAGGTTTCTGTACCCCTTCGATCTCTTTGCAGTGAACATTTGTTATATCAAATTTAATTCCATATATTGGAAAAATACGTCCAAAGTGTGTCAGTTGAGCAGCTAAAAACTGTTGAGCTGTAGAATAATTTTAGACAATGTACAAGAAAGTAGAGAGGTACCACAGGTTAGTAAGATACAGGGTGAAAGGCAGAGTTCCTGGTTACCTCCTCTTCTACACCATGGAAATGGTTAAGAGAATTTACCCTTCCTATTCATTATCCCTTTCATGGTTAGTAGTTAATGGACTCAAAATGTAATTTACTGGTTGCATGGGCCCTCAGTAAATTATTTCTCATAACTGATAGAAAAGAAATCTGAGAGGCTTAGTGCATATCTGAATCTTATATATCACATGTATCTTATAATCACAGATACATGCCAAGGACTGTAATGTGGTCAACAACTGGAGTTAGAACCCTATGCTTGAAGGGCACGATCTGGGCAATAGCAGAAATATTGGATTAGATGGGAAGTATTAATTTACATAACAAATTTCAGGTTTATTATTTAATCAAGGACCCTGAATCAAACCCCAAATAAGACCAGTTTTCACAACTGTGGGGCATTGCCCTGTATAACCAACTTTGTGAAATAATGAAAGAGCAATTTTCTTCCTCCAGCACTGTGAACATCCTTACACCAGAAGGATTGCTAACACCAAGTCAAATGTCACAGGGAAACTACAGGAGCTTAAAGGAAATAGGCTTATTACTAGGACATATGTCCTTTTCCAAAGCAGGCAAAGTATCCAAGAGAACCGAAATGCCTTAACTGAATACACTGTGGCTAAAAAAATAGGTTGATTCTGTAAAGGTATTTTATGTCCTCCTTTGGAATAAACAGTTCTATTTCAATAACAGAATCCCCATGCAACTGATTATGCCGTTACTTTAGAACAAATTTTAAACAAACTTGAAACTTAGCAGAAAATTCACAAACATGCCTGCTGCACTCCATTTAAAAAAATGTGAATTTCATCCAGTATTGATTTTTCAGGTGTGTCAGATTTGGAAATGGAGTTTGTTTTCAAAAAGTTTTGTTTATTTCAATATAAACCGAGTTGTTCGTTCTTTATACTTCATCTGTATAAACTGTACTAATTCATTTATTTCTTAAGTTTGGTGTTCGTTGTTAACATTGTTGAATATTAAAGAAACGGTGGAATATATAAATCAATCCACTCTGCTGTTTTGTGATGACAGCTGGATTAAGATACAGGATTTGAACTCAACTCTGTTATATATCTAGTTGTATTCTTTCCTCATACAGGAAAGATATTACAATTACCTCCTTTGTATAATGAAATGACCCATTTTCATACTAAGGAAATAATAATTATATTGTATCCTTCAGGGACTGTGATGCAAACAAAATCAATTATATGTATGCTCAGTATGTCAAGAATACAATGGAGCCTCTCAACATCCCAGATATCTGCAAAGACAGAAGATTTCCCTGGACAGTATGTAAAATAAGATTAGATTTAAAATTCAGGATTGGAAAATGTGTTTTTCTGTTTAGCTTTCAAACCTTTTTTGTTTTCCTCTTATTATTTCTATTAATTTAATGGCCACAGAATTATGCAAACACAGAGGAAGGTACCTTTGCTTGCTAAAATTAATTACCAGTGAAGAAACAATACGGTACCCACACAATGGGCCAGGTTGCCGGGGGTTTAACAACCATTATTAAAAAAGCTTTACATTATTTTCTCAATAAATAGACTGTGATATGTAGAGAGCTTGCAATATGTTCTACGGAAAACACTGAAGTGAAAAAAGTTGGAAGTTTTCATAGTAATCCTCAGTAGTTTACAGTGACTGTTGGGAGACTCCCATGAGTTCCTTCCCTTTCATCCTCCCTTGACCTTCTTATTCTGGCAAAGATTAATGTTATAGATGCAAGTTCTTCACTGTTTTGGAGACAGAACAACTCCACTTTTCTTTGGGATCTTTTGCTTCACACTTCATCAAGTGCAAGCTTGCGATATGGTATACTACTGAGCACACAGATACTGAGAGTTAGGAGGGAAGGTCACTTGGCAAGACTCAGACTACAGTCAGGTTGCCTTCAAAGTCATCATAAACAAAAAAAATTTGTAATTTCATTATTTTCCTGTCAATGCCAAAATTAAAGAGATGTCTGCTCTTATTATATTTAAGCCTGTTGGCTAGAGGGGCTCAGGGAGAGGGTACTACATGGGAGAGGAGTTGTTATGATCAGCAGATAGCTCTACCTAACTCTGTTCTCAGATGCACAATGAAAAAAGGTCAGTGTTTGGTGTGATTATTTCAGTAAGTGGAAAGAAGGGTCAGGCTCATTGTGGGAAGCTGCATTTCTTCCGTTTTTCCATGTGCAGGCTTTCTTGGGTGTTCTGGAATGGGTTTCTAGGAAGGATTGAGCAACACAGGTATTGAGTGCTCACTACTTTGCAGTACAGGGCTCAAAGTTATCTTAACTGCAGGAGGGGAAATAAGAACAGAATCAGGCAGGTATACTGTATAGACCAATAAAGAAAGAGATGATTATTTTGAAAACATTTTAAGGTAAAATTGAGAGTCGTTCAAACAGCTGTGTGTCTAAATAAGGCCTTTGCACTTTGTCAGCCGGGTTAGAGTTCTTCTGCATTTTACCCTGGAATCTAGATGACTTACACAGGAATTCTGGATAATGATTTTCAACACCCAGTTGCTCCACCACTGTGTAGGAGCAGTCTCAAGGCAGAGCTGTAGTTTTCCTACCTGTTCCTTGGATGATACTTTGGTCTCCTCTAAGCCTCCTTTCATTGTGTTGGTGGTTTAATAAAGGGATCTCAAGCAAGCCAAAAGGGTCAATGAAAATTTTACAGCCACAAAATGCGTAGTTAGCTTAAAGTCAGGTAGTTACTTCTGTTTTATGACATCTGTTCTCTGTTTCTTATATCGCCATATTGCAAGTGAGGGGATAGCTGCAAAGGGGAAAGGTCAATTCCTTTTCACTTGGTGAGAGTAAAAAGGTGTCCTAAAGCCCATCTGGTCTCTTTTCAGCTGCACTGAGTGGAACCATTTGTAATTTTCATGGAAGTGGTACCTTCTTATGAAAGAATCTATTATAAATTTAGCACATTGTTAGCACAATTACACAAACCACTGTAAAATCCTACTGAATCAAGATTATCATCGTCATATTTCATAGTTATTCACAAAAGCTTGTATCAGATACGGTGTTTATTATACTGTCCAGCCAAAGATATGCAAACTCTCTGAACACATGGTTTACTTCTGAAGGACTATGTAAGCCAAGAATAGCTGTAGATCCCAGCTCTACAGCTTTTTCACCTTTTTCACTTTGAATATTAGTCTTCCAAATTATAACTGTATTTTTTGTTTGTTTAACAGAATGACAGTGCAGAAAATGTAAGTCAACACATAAAGAGTTTGCTGTGCACACCAATAAAAAATGGGAAAAGAAATAAAGTGATAGGTAGGTATCTTTTAAAAAAAAATCTTTATACATTTCATAGAAATATTTCTGTGCTCCGCTGCAGAATCTCAGCAACATGGAATCTCAACCCAGGAAAAAAGGTCCTTAATCATCATGTTTTCACATACACTGCAACCTTGACTGTAAATTGCTTACCTAGTAAGTTACCAAGTATGTACAGCTCTCTTGTGATACTTCACTGGTTTTATACTTGCAATCAAAAACTTTCTGTAAGTAAAATCATTTTCATTGCTTCCTATTCAGAGAGTCAGTTACCCCTATTGCTTGTGCAGACCTTTTTACAAGGCAGTGAAAGGAAGAGAAGATCTAAATCAGTAAATAAACCCTTCAGGCCTGAGTTGTCTGTAGTGCTGGGCTTTTAGGAAGCAATGGTGGCATGTGAAAAGGTGATCTGAACTACACAAATATTGTCAGTTTCCTCAAATGAGATTCACCTATGCGAAGATTCATACATTAGAAGGTCAGATGCTGTGCCATTTTTGGTGCTACCAACTGTCCTTTGGATGTGCCCACTTCTATCTGTGGATTACACTGGGAGCCAATAGTACTATAGTAAGACAATAGGTTTAAGTGTCTAAAGCTACCCAGTGTAAGTATCTCTGCAGCATCTCCTTCATTTTGATAGAACTAGTTTTCTTCTAGTTTAAAGAGTGGCCATAGTTTCCTGGTGTAGCATTTCCAGAAGTAATTTGACATCACTTAGGCCTAGATGCTTATGGAAACTTAGAAGTCTAGCTGTCTCTAGTTCCCTAAAACTTCTAGGTGGCTGTTGTCTCAAAGACAACACCTAAAAAGAAACTCCATGCGTAAGTCTTGCATGGAGTTTCTGGTTCACCTTAAACATAGGGATGATGATGCTTTTGGAAATTACCAGGACATTCCAATCCCATGAAGAGTAGAATGTGTATCAGCCTGCTTTCCTGGCATCAGTAAGTTCCACAAATAAGCAAAACATAATATATACTGATTCCTAAATAGCAGCATGAATCCAGCTTCCACAGCTTAAAAAACATTTGGCAAGTAAATGTGAAGAGTTCCAAGAATGCATTTTTTAATGATCTTCAAGTAATTTTTCTTGAGAATTGTGGCAAAACCGCATAATCCAATGTAAAGTAAATATGAGGTCCCTTTTCCAGGAAGACAAGTTGGGGGGGGGGGGGGGGGGGGGAGTGTTAAGTCTGTTGGGGTTGGTTGGTTGTGTTTTTTAACTCCTGAAGCAGAAAGAGAAGCATCATCTTTACCTGGTGGAGTTCTCTGAAATTTCTTTTGATATCAGCTTCTTAAATTAGTTCTTTTATTACTTTGTTTAAATATTCTACCAGACTCTAGAAGACCGAGACAAAGATTGAACTGTTGAACTTTAAGTACAGATATCTCACTATGCTTTTAGTACTGGTAAGACAGTCACATCTGACCTCATGTATTTTTTTCATTTACTGTGGAAATTCAAACTGAAAGTTTTAATCAGGCTACCCGTTTAGGTGAGTTTTCCAACTCTGAGTAGTTCTCACTGGGAAATGTTCCTTAAATTCTTTTAAGGTTTCACAGCCTGCCTGATGTTCAGATCTGTAAAACAGCAAGGTTAAGAAGTCTTTGGGACAATACCCAGAAGTTCCGTTAGCATATTATATACTATGTAAGACTACTATTATAAGTCTACTTTTTCATTTTTAAGATTTAGATTTTCATTTCATTTACCAGAATTTGGTAAGTGTGCTGTGCAGATGGGCATGGGGTGGGAAAAACTGTCCACAGCAAACTGACAAATCTTACTGACAAGACAGATGAACTTTTTCAGGTATGTGGTGAAAGCTTTAAAGAATTTTTCTATTGTTTTATAACTATGTCCCAATAAAAGACTTACGAGTTTCTTTAACTGTAACGTATGGGCCCCTCAATGCTTTGGGGAATCTTCTGAAAAAATTAAAAGGTCTTAAGTACTAGATAGTGTATTTCCTGCAGTTCCCCCATTTTTTTTTTTTTCGAGACATTGTGCAAATACTATTTCTTTTAAGAATTCTTTTGGCTCTGTGATTTATTCACTGTTGAGTCCTAATCTTGTATTCATTACAACACAGTTGCTGTGGAAATAATTAGAATGTCATAAACAGTACTAAACAGAGATCTGAAAGTGAGTTTCATGACATTTTGCTATAGAGTTTTTTAAGCCAGCTTCTTTTTCCCAGGAAAAGTTAATCTTGCTCTTAGTTAATCTTTATTTGATGGGACTATGTATTTTTACTATTATTCAAGTATATAGTAATCTCATTGCAAAAAGGTTCAGAATCCTGTTTGCAGTATTCATTAACCACAACCTATGCCACAACAGTTTACAGCTGCAGTTACAATGTTCTTACTGATTTCTTTAGAGGCGACTTTTACACTAAAATAAGATCCCCAGACAGAATGTATTTTGGAAACAAGACAGTGTTACACTGTCAACAGACATTAAACTTCTACATGCAACACCAGTGTTCTCCTAAAAGCACAGTTTGCATGTGACCAGGAAAATGCTTGCTTGCTTGGATCTAAGTTGCAGCAAGGTTTGGTAGAAGTTACCTGTTAGTGGCATGTGCATGTCGAAGTCCAGAAATTCTTAATAAAAATAAACAGATGCAACTACCAACAAGTTTGAATCTAACAAGTCAAATTCAGTAAGATGCTTTTCAGTGAGCTCAGCAGTCTTTGGAGCAGGCTGTAATTCAATCACATCCTCACAGAATCAGGGAGTATACTTTAGCTTTCAGCCTCAACTTGCGTATTCTCTTTAGTTCATTTATTTTAAAAAAATTCCAGCACTGACTCAAATAAGGAAGTGAAAACTCTGTGTACCACTCTTCTGACTTTCATAAATGGTTCTTTTGGCATGGTTAAAAACGTCTAATTAGCCTCTAAAAGACAAATTGCCTTTAGGGATTAAATCAATCTAGAATACTATTAATAATAAAATGACCCTGGAATTTCACAAGATAATCATGTCTGTAAAGCCCTACATTTGTGGTTTACAAATCCTAATAAATACGTTTGAATCTACTAAGAAATATAGTACATTTTAGCATTTACTCTGTAATACAGTGAAATTACTAAAAAAAAATTCCGGTGAAAATCCTGTAGCACTCCTGTGTGTCACCTTTATGTCTGTTGCTGGTTTATCCTGTAGGCTAAGCTGTTGTAGCCTCAATTTTTCTCTTGATGTTCCATACAATAGGTGATATGTAGGCAGTTTTCTTGTTTTACATCTTCTAATCTCTGTATCCTGCCACAGGGGTTTGCCAACTTGTGAATAAGATGGAAGAGAATTCGGGCAAAATCAAGGCTTTCAACAGAAATGATGAACAGTTCCTGGAAGCATTTGTCATCTTTTGTGGCTTGGGGATCCAGAATACACAGATGTATGAAGCTGTAGAAAGAGCCATGGCCAAACAAATGGTGACATTAGAGGTGAGCTCAAAATCTAGGTCAAATGGATCCTAAGTTCCCTCAAGATCTTCTCTGCTCTACACAGAAGTGCAGCTGTTTGCATGGATACTGAACAGAGATTGTTCTCCCCTACAAGAACAGCATTTGGCCTGTTGAGTTGCACAGGAATTTTTCTGCTTGTTTCTGTATCTGACAGCAGACTATTTTGTATTTTAACCTTACTCATGTGATTTTGTGGTGAGCTGAATGCATCTTTACATGAGGCTGCACACTGACAAAATAGTGGCTTTGTTCTGTTGCATAGGAAGAGAAAACAGTTTGGTGTATTAGGGGCTTCCTTTTATTGTCTGAGGTTTTCTGTGATGATTTTGGCACAGTCCTTTAGACAAACCAGTTTGTGGAGTAAAAGCGGCATTAATGTAGGTTTTCAGTAATTTCCTCAGACTCCATCAGACCATATCAAGATGTACGTCATTTGATCTCAGCCTTTGAAATGGTTACTGTTAATAGCTAAAGGGGGCTTCAGTCTGAGAAGCTGAGTTACCTGGAGGTGATAACTTGAAGCTGAAAGTCCCAAATTTGTAGACTTTGAATCTCCTAATATTCATTATGTAAATAGAGTGTTTACAGACTTCCTAAATGGGGATTATGTACCCTGTAGCCTTTACAAGAAATGTTAAAACTCAAACAGACCTGTATTAAGCAATGTTAAATAAAAAGGTGGTAAAATTATTGTCAAAACCATTTCAGGGTTTAAAAAAAAAGAGTTGTTTGTTTACATGGCAAATTAGCAATTCTCTCTCCTACTCTAACACTTTATAGGTAACGTAGAAAGTCCAGACAGGTTATAGGCTGGTATATAAGATGGCTTCTTTTCATAAAAAGTCAGTCTCTAGTTGTTAAAAAGCCTCCATAACATTTTCATGTCCTTGGTTCTCAACAGCTAAAAAGATACGAGCTTATTTTGTTAATTTAAACCAAACATACTGTCTTTCAGATTTTTTGCCAGGTTTCAGTTAGGGCAAAACTTTCTTTTATGTCTGAATAAACTCCTGAAAGGGTTACTATGGCAACGATGTCAGGCTCATATTTATAGCTGGTTCATGTATTGTTTGTCTTTGAAAGTGGGGCATGAAAACTTTCCAAATTAAAAATCAGAGTTCTTTGCTCTTTTATAGAAACTAATTATCTCAAGAAGATTCTGTGCTGTGCAAGATTTTTGAAAGCTACAGGTATCTCCTCATAGGCTTCCCGAGAGCTCCCTTAAAACCAGCATGGGTTCTGCATGGAAACTAAATTTCATCAGCAATAGCAATGCAATGCAAAGCCATGCAGCTGCGAACTGAGAATTCTGCTTTAGGAAAAATACTTTTTCACCATATTGCTCTTTTATTTGTACTAATGGCTACTTTCCTCTTCCTGTAGGTTCTCTCATACCATGCTTCTGCTGCTGAGGAGGAAACGAGGGAGCTGCAGGTAACAGCGGTAATTGAATTTTTTACTATTTAGAAATGCTCAACTAATAGAACAACAAAGGCATGGATGTGAGCCCTAAACATGCAGAAGCACATCTTCCAGAAATAAAAAATACAGTGAAGCTTAAACTGATCAGTTTCTGAGTTGAATCAATACATGACATAAAAGAGAAACATTGCAATGAGAAATACAGGTTGGCTAAAGAGCTGCAGTTATTTGCAGGAGAAGCAGAAGCATACCAACTGAGTTTGAGTGCCAGTAACAGCTGATGCAATGTTACACAATCATTATGTATTTCAGAAGCAAAATGTTGAGAACACTTCTGTCTGCAGCTAAGTCTGAATGGTGTATATTTTATAACTTCGGTACATTTCAGGCATCCCAAGTATGGGTGCAACTTTACTGCCTTACACAGAAATTCTGAATTTAATTGTTAATGTGATGATGATAATTTTTTTATTATTTTTACAGTTACTTTTCTGTTCAGTGTCCTGTTCTGCTCATGTTTAATTCTGGGTTTAGAAACAACTGCCTAAGGAATAACTATAGCTAAAATTTCAAGTATAATTTAAAGCATAGCCTGTGCTTAGTCTCTTCAGTTCTCTCTGTTGGAGCAGACTTTCTGGGGAAACAGCATCAGCCTGCTGCACGAGAAAAAATGGGAAGGATGGAGGGATGGCGAAGAAGGCAGATAGAGAAGTCCACAAGCTGGGTAGTATGGGACTGGACTGAACAAGCAAGGTGCCACAGAACAAGGCACAAGACTAAGGTTATTTCTGGAACAGTTAGCGTCATACAGATTTTGGACCTAAGTCCCACCCCACTGTTGCTCATTGAGACAAGATTTTCATGCGATGAAAGCATCACTCTGAATTTTAACAGAGCAATCAGATTAGTTCAGATAATTTTGGCTGAAAAAAAAAAAAGAAAAAGAAAAACAGGCCTTAAAAATAAGGGTATCTTGAAACCTCAGGGCACCACACAGAGCCCAAAGCAAACCACAGACCGAGTGCTATGTTGTACAGACAAATCAGTTTGTAGACTTTCACATCACTGCTAGAGTATGATCCCCGTGCTGTTGTATATAGCAGTGCAGATCTAGCCACTTCATTGGTCATTTGGTTCCTTCTTTGTGCTTTTGCATACAAGATACCTAATTCAGTGACCATTCCTCAAATTGCTTCTTTAGGCATTATTCTTTTCTTCAGAAAGCTTATTTTCTTTCTTTGGTGCCACATTCCACAACTTTGATAACTGAAAACGTCCCCTATGGCATATAGACTTTATAACTGTGTTGCCTATTATGAAAGTAGTTATCTTCTGCTTTTTTGCAGTTTGATTTTCTTTGTAAATCTGAATGATTCAATTTCTTTGTAGCTGTTACCTCTCTCTTTTTTTCAAGAACAGCTAAGATTTCAATGTGCAAGTTTTTACGCTGAAATGTTCCCAGTTGAAATGAAACTTGCAGTTCTGGCTGTCAAAAGCAGGAGATCAAGGAAGGGAAAGATAAATTGTGAATGAAGTCAGAACACAGGCATGAGGTGTTCTGTTGAGCTCCTATTGTGTCCTTCCAGCCCCTTTCCTCGTGAAATACCAGAATGCAGTTGCAGTTTTTCAAAATTATGTCATTAGAGTTTGTGAATGGTCACTTTATTTTCCACTGAACCTACTGGCCTTGTGGTTCTTTCACATGCTCATAGGTGAAATACCAAATGAATCCAAACTGAGGGACACAAAATTACTGGTACAAGAAATGTGTAAGAATGATGGATTTATTTTTTTTTTTCTGTGCAAATCCTGTTTTTCATACTCTTTCATGACTTTCCAATATTGACACCCAGGAAAGATAACAGCACGTTTATATGGAAGATATATTGGTAGACATAGTTATGAGGAGAGCTGATTTGTATGCTACATGTAAAAATATTGCAGATTATGAAACATGCTTCCTTTTCAGGGTCTCAGCCTTCCAGGACACAGTTCCCCATACTGGACAAATGTCTTTCCCCTAGAATTACAAAGTAGAAGATGAACACATAGGTTTATTTTTTTCACCATTTCAGTTTTATCTGACCTTCTTTTAAACCACACTCATATTGAGGTGAAACAACTGTAAAGAAGTAGCACTGACAACTCTACCTTTTATTTTACTGAAAAGAAAAAGATACTAAGTTGTGTACTATAGTACAAGACTTACCATTTATTTTGTTAGCAGCCTTAACATCTGTACGTCGAAAGTCAATGAATTACATCGAAGTTGTAGTATCTGTAATACATGGAGATGTTACTGGTAATAAAAGTTAGATTTGTAAAAGTATAGAGCTGTTTTTTTTTTTTTTTTGTATACTTTATAATTTCACATTTCATATTGAAGGTTTATGACTGTATTCAGATTAGATCAAAAACACGGTCCTAAATTTTTAAAGATTATGGATCACAGGTGAAGCCTAATTTTTCAGGTTTCTAGACCAGAGAAAGCTCTGCCTGTGGGCATGTTCTGACTACCATAGTGCTGAATGTGGATTCTGTTAGGAATTCTGTTCTATTGACATCTCTTTCCTCACCGTTTTTAGAAAAATGTAAACATCTACAGATTTTTATGTCTGCACATCCATGAAAACATAAAACTCCACTGCCTTAGCTTTTCAGTCTCCCAGTTTCATACATACTCTTGGTTACAATTTGCCTTTGGCGGTTTAGATGACAGACTGACCAGGTAATCACAGAATCATAGAATAGTTGGGGTTGGAAAGGACCTCAAGATCATCCAGATCCAACCCCCCTCCCATGGGCAGGGACACCTCACTCTAAACCGTGCCACCCAAGGCTCTGTCCAACCTGGCCTTGAATACCGCCAGGGATGGAGCATTCAAAATTCCCTAATCCTTCCCTTATTCTTTTGATCTGTGGCAAAGTGTGTGTTAAATCTAAGGATATAAGGCAGTGTTAAATGAGAAAGGCTAAGGAAAATGAGAAGTAATCATCAGGTTTCAGTGTAATGCAAAGTTAAAATTTCGAGTATCTCACTACTTTTTTGTGGAAAAAGCCAGTATTTATGTTATGCTTTTCTTTCCTAGTCTAAGCTGTGTTCTGTTATTCTTCTCTAGGCTGCTACAGTACCATCCACACAATCTCTCAACCTAACTGACTTCAACTTCAGTGATTTTGAGCTATCAGATTTTGAAACAACACTGTGTACGATACGAATGTTCACAGACCTCAACCTGGTGCAAAATTTCCAAATGAAACATGAGGTATGAATGTTGTCAAATGTTGTTTCACATGAAGAGACAACTTAAGTATTAGAAAATTAGGAGAATAGTGAAATAAGTCCACAGTAAATATAAATGGAAATATGTATTAAAGAGTAGTTAGCAAACTAGGAAGGCATGTAAGGTGGGTAGTACTGGAGTGTGTCCTTAGTTTGGTTCTACTGAATAATCAGTAATTCAGTTAATGGTCTGTACAACACTTTTAGAAAACTTGGGGATTGGAAGTATAGAACTCAGTTAAAATTCAAATGAGTTTGAGAATATATAGCAGTATTTCAAAATCAGTAAGAACAAATATTTAAAGGCTTAACAAAAGCAGTAAAATGCATAAATTAAAAATGGTAAACAGAAGTGGTAACAGAGACTTCACAGCTACTAGTATTAGAAACCATGTAAAAATCAATAATGTGCCATAGTAGCAAAAAGCGGCAAATTTTGCGCTTTCCTGACAGAGTGGTATTACATATCCATGGAGTAATTATATTGTAGCTTATTATTTGAAGAGGCACATAGAGATACAAAGTAATTTTTAAGGAAATAAGAATTGAGGAGATTGAGAGCAAAATACATTTTCTCTGTCAAATATGTTGTTACAAACAAGGATTTTTTTTCTCCCAGTTAGCTCAAATTAACTCAGTTTCTGAATTAACAGCACTGCATCTGATATTAACATTTAGCCATTAGTAATAAAATCTCCAACACACAAGTATTACATACTCAATGAAAGGCTGAACTAGTGGATGTAAGCATATTCTTATCTATGTTGGCAGTTACAAGTATGTTACATTTGAACTTTTAAAAGGAACTATTTTTTTTGCCGTGAGAGTTTTCAAGCAGGAATATTACAGAAATATTTGTTTTCATAAAAATAATAGGTTTCAAATACATTTACAGTTAACTATGTGATGCTGTTTCTTAAAGGTCCTCTGCAGATGGATTTTAAGTGTAAAGAAAAACTACCGGAAAAATGTTGCTTATCACAATTGGAGACATGCCTTTAATACAGCACAGTGCATGTTTGCTGCTTTAAAATCTGGTAAAATTCAGGTACATTTTGCCGTTTCTACATTAAGAATCTTCTAAAAATTTTCTTCTAAAAAAATGTTATAACGGTGCATAGTTCTGATTGCCATGTCAGTAAGAGGGTCATCATTCTGTGGCATTGCTAATGAAATCAATATATTTTTGCTGAAGGTTCACAGCTTTAAGGGCTTGGTTTGTGAAATTGCTGTCATCTTGTTATGTACCCAGTTCCAGTTAAATCCTCTGGAAATGATTAGGTATATACAGTGGGAAAATGTCAAATAAAACACATGCATGATTATGTCCTTTTTTAAAGTTAATTCTTATGCTACAAGCAAGTCAAAAAGGTGGAGATGAAAAAGACTGACCATCTTTCAGGGTGTTTCCTTATAATATTCAACAGGAAAATTTTAAAGTCCAAACAGAGCTGAGTACAGCTTTAGACAAACAATAGAATATTTTTGGAAATCAAGATTTAAATGCTCATTTCAATGCTTTTGAACAATGCTTCAAGCTTCCACTTAAAAGACGCATAATATCTTTAAAAAAACAATCTATCTTTGGTGTAAATACTGAAGAGTTAGATGATCCCCAGAATATGAAAGATACCAATTCAAGATTTTTCCAAAATATGTTTTTAGATTTTTTTAATATTCTTGAAGAAAAGAGAATGTGTCTATTTATTCTGTATTAATGTGTTTCTTTACTTTGATTACAGACTACTCTTATTAGTTGGTTTATATTATTTTTCAGTAAATACTTCTGAAAGAATAAATAAATCCTATTTGTAGACCAAAACCTAGTATCAATAATGAAGAGGCATTCCTTTCTTCTGAAAACTTGTCTCACAAAAAAACACACAAACAAACAAACCAAAAAAAAAAAAGACAAAAGTTGCTGGATGAGACAAAAGAAAAGGCTTCATATTCCTTCTATACTGCAGTGGACATGGTAGTTTTGCTCTGTGTGGGGTCTAGATCTGATGGTCCTGATAGCTTGCTTGCTATTTTTGGAATCCTGTCTGTCTCCGCTGTGATTTCCATAAACTCATTTATTCCTCACTACATTGGATTCACTCCACACTGATTTTCGTGTCCTAGATTCTGGAGTCAGAATGGCGTTGATCATAAGTTTCTAATTTTTTTCTGTAGTTTGAGGTGAAAACCACATGATGGGGGACACAGCTTCCTAGCAGAAACATAAAAACAGTAATTTCCAAGCTGATTTGTCTTTTAATTACGCTAAGGACAGGCTTCACGTCTGGAAAACAGATGTAAAGCCGCAGTTGTAACTGCTTAAGGAAAATTTGGCTTTGATTGTACAGAGGGTGCAGCCCCCTAGTGGCAGTGCTGTCACTACCTGTTCCTCAAATTCCTTAACTGACTCTTGTGCCTGTGGCTCTTGTCCCATTATGAAATGTTGCATCAACAGTGTAGCTTTGTCCAGCTTCTGTTTCTTACTGGACAGATTTAAATAAATTTACTATCTAATTCTGCTGAACAATATTCAAGATACGAAATAGTCACAAAGAGAAACTATAACCTGTTCACTAATCCATTTTGGAGGTCCAGAAGAAACTCAAAATAATGAGTCAGATAGTGGTTAATTTTGTTTTCTATGGGCTTTAAACTTCTGTTCACTTATTTGTCCAGTAATCAATGAAAAGCATGTATTTTTTTTCCTTTTGATTATTCCAAGGACGTTTTATAATAAATGTTTATACTGGAATGTAGCCTAACTCCCTTGAGGTAATGGAATAGCTGAGCTAAAAGTCATGGGGTCAGAATTTGAAATGATTCCTCATGCTCTCTCTTCACTGTCAGGTGATATGCAAAGCCACTTCCTCATATCAGTTTTCTCATCAGTATAAATAGGGCTATATGATGTCTCCATTGATGTGTGCATTGAGATGTAGGAGAATGATTATTAGTGTTCACCACAACTTCAGGGATAGCCCTCATTCTCAGCATCCCATTTTATGTCCTTCTCCTCCTTGGCTAGAACTGTACCTGCTGTGTGGTAAAGCCAAGACAGCAGATATAGAACACATTGTGCAAAATAAATCCCCATCACAAAGCTAACTCACTTATTATGTTACTGTCTACATATAGAGCAAACTGACTGATTTAGAAACACTGGCTTTGCTGATAGCAACTCTAAGCCATGATTTGGATCACAGGGGAGTGAACAACTCTTACATACAGAGGTAAGTCTGAGAGAAGTTAAGTAAAAACAAATGAATACCAAAATCACGGGGCTAAATTAAGTACAACCTATTTGACTTCATAATGTGAGGCTGTGTAAAGGAGCAGGTTTTTAACAAAGTAGTAAGTGCAAGAACAGCCAGAAGCATTCAAGAGTCCACAGCAAAGATGTACAACCTCTGTTCCTGACTAGTTAAAATGGCAGGTGAAGCGAACTCTTAATAGGCTGTGCAGGGGCAGCATCTTCAAGCTCCTGTTTCAGAAGTCACATCCCCCATTTCCCATACAGTGACAGCAAAAGGTCCCAGCTGCTAAGGGACAAGCTGTAGGGAATATGGAGCTTTTCAGGTTTCTCCCTGCCTAGCCAGCTGTTCCCTGTTTAGTCTCAACCACCTGTGGGTCTCTGAGCTGAGATCTGCAGCTATCTGATACCGAGGTGTCTCCTTACCATCTTGAACTCTTGTTTTTCCAGAGTTTTAAGTTGATTTGGATAAGTTACATATTTAAAATCACATTACAAATGTATGACTGTTTTGTGTTGATTTGGTATTATCTATGCTCTTCAACATTGATAAGTTCTAGAATTACAGAGAAACTTTTACAACATAAAAAGTCAAAACGTACTTCGAAACAAAATATTTTTACTAAACAAAATATTTTATTTTGAAGTTATCAAAATAGGGCATCTGAACTCTCCTAAAATTTTCTCCATATTTTAATTTTTAACTAAAAATACCTAGGTCTTTTATAATTTATCAGTAGTTTCAGATCTGCTCAAAATGTGTTTTTCAGTGAATTTAGTATTCAGGTAACAGTATATAATCTTTCCTTAAAATAGCTTGACTTAAAAAACATGGTATAATGTGATTACTGTGATTTGGCAATGTGTCCTGATCTGACCAGAGATGAGGAAAAGATACCCAGAAGTGCATACTTCTGTTTCTGGGAGAGCTGGAGGGTGGAAGAAGTGGTCTGCTGTTTTCACTGTGTGTAGAGTAAGATACTAGGGGAAGAAAAGTGTCCAAGGCAGAGAATACTGAAAGACAGAAAGTAAGCCGACGCAGAATTCCACCCGTTCATACAGATGTGTTCAGAGTAACACTAAGACTGATGTGTATAGCAATTTAAAACCAACCAAAATCCCCCAAATTGAAAGAATAACCTTTTTCTAGTTTCTTAATAGGGGATTCCAGCAGTGACTGTAACCTTGCAGTGATTGGAACCAGTTAGCTATTTTTTGCTTTATTTATTTAAAAATAAATTTCCTGGAAGACATCTGGAGATGCATCATCTCCTCTCAGAAATGTCCTGGGAAAGTATTATAGACAGCAAGATCTAACATTTGCACATGCTGCAAAGCAGCAATGATTACAGCTTAATAATTGTTTCGCAATGGAAGGTTCCATGAATTTTGTTTTTTTAAATCCCTCATTTCATTGAAAAGTTAATTTTCTAGGAACAGATCCCTTTTGTTTCTTAAGTATCTTGTGGATACTTAGCATATAGTTTTTTTCTTAAGCAACAGGGTTTCAAAATTTAAAATGATCCTGGTAGTAGAAATTACAGGAAAGAAACTGCTGAAAGGTATTTTGGTAGATAGGCTGAGGGTTTCTTTTTCTTCCAAACCCACATGTAAAGTAGGCAAGCCCAGAGTATGAATAGTGCATAACCAAACCACTGTGTTCAGAAGGCAATGGTGTCCTTTAGCTCAGCGCAGTGGTTTAACAGAAATGCTGTGTACTACAGTAGTAGGACCTCAGTTTATTTCCAGCACTTGTTTCTTCCCAGACAGCCAGGGTCTGTAAGTACCAAGCAAGCTGTAGTTTGGTGCAGAACTTGGGAAGATAAATTAAGATATTTCTCACATATTTCTCTCTTCAGTCAGGATGAACTTTAGGGGACATGGTATGCATTCGACTTAACTCAGTGGGAATTTTCACCCAGCATGCATTGGCACCATACTACAGTTTTTTTTTCCCTCTAGAAACACACAAGCAAATATGCTCTATATGCCTTTTGCAGTGGTCTCAGAGGAGGTACTGGGCAGTCAGCCCATAATCCTCAGGGGCTTGCATCCTTTAATCTCCCTTTCCGCATTTTAGTTTATCTTTCCATCTTTTTCTCCACATTTTTGTGCTTCTGAAATTCCCAGTCTCTTCTTAGGACTTTTATTGAGTCTCCGTGTGCAGTCACTTACACAGGGACCCAGTCCTGCAGCTACTAATTCATATGACTGAGACCCAGTCCTGCAGCTACTAATTCATATGACTGATTCTTAACCATACAAAAAGTCCCAAAAATTTTGCTAAAAATTTTTTTTTTACATGATTAAACACTTGTAGGCCAGATTATAATTAAGAGTAATGGATTCAGGATCAACAGCCAAAGAGACTTGCAAAAGAATCCAGATTTATTAAAGAGATGACATAAGCACCATGGGACCGGGGTCTGAAAAGGAAGATACAGTAGCAAAAATTAAGAACATTATGTAATGAGGATCAAGGGAAATCAGAACCCCTCAGAGAGGAGAAGTTTAGATATGCTTTATCTAAAGCTACTCAAACATTAAATTCTATTTTCTAGACTAACCTTTAAATTCTGCATTGGCACAGTTGGTTTCATGCTGGTTTTCTCTGCCTGTAGTACAGCCAACATCTTGTTTCCCTTTTGGATTTTACCCTGGGCATAAGATAGGTAACGATATTGCAGTAGTTGGTCATGAAGAGAGTGGTGATGAATGAAGTATCAGTACAGTTACTAATACTGGGAAATTACTTGATCAATCAACAGTTTTGGGCCCTGCAGAACAGTACACTGAGGTCAGCAGGAAATTTACCATGGGTATCAGGAGGCTTCACATTAGGTCTGCATTTTACTTACAAGTTCAGTAACTGAACTGACCGAATATGCAAGGCAGCTGTTTAAAGTGTAACAAACCCCCAAACCATCACTGAAATTTTGCTTGTGAATGAGTCCTTGTTGCCTTCCCCTTTCATACAAGAACTTTCACTCTTCATAAAACCTTGTATTACATTCTCACTCCTTGTGTGCACCTGGTCTCTACAGATAACAGAAGGCAGAAAACCAGAGCTGTCAATGCTCTGAAAAGTAACAGAATTGTCTTTTTGCCTTTACACCCCCTGCATCCTTCCAAATGTATTCGCTTTGTTTGGGAATTTACACAGAAAGAGGAAAGCAACTGGTTAAGAACAAACCTGGGTGGATTGGGAAAACTGTAAATGAGAAAACAACATTAAGAGGGAAGTCCTTTTTGGACTAGTAGTATGTTTAATTTGATTTCTTAATCTGATTGGTCTTTTTACTCTGCAGAAGTGAACATCCACTAGCTCAACTGTATTGCCACTCAATCATGGAGCATCATCATTTTGATCAATGCCTTATGATCCTGAATAGTCCAGTGAGTGCCACATTTTTGTGTACACTGAAGAAAACTATTCCCTAATTTACTTTTTATTTTTAGCTTTTGGATAGATTCCCACCTTTTACATTCCTAAGTGATCTTTATTCCTTTTTGGGTAAAGAATGCAAATGAAGCAGTTTAGAAATCACGGTTCCATTGCTGAGTGCCACCAAACCTTTCCAAATGTTGTTTGACAAGGGAAGCCTTGCTAATTTCCTTTTGCGTACCTGTTCCTTGGACCAAAGGAAACAAAAGGCTTTGTTGCCATTTTCATGACCTCTTATGAACCACCAAACAAACCCAAGTCCTTGCTCTCATTTCAAAAAGCATTCTGGCCTACACATACACAAAGCTGATGACATACACAAAAAACATTCCGGCCTACACATACACTTTTGAAGAGACCAAACCAAACACTGCTAATGTTGACATTCCAAAGTGAAGCCAAACCCAAGTTAACTAAATATGCAAGTAAAACTAAGTTCTTCTTGGTTTATATTATTAACTAATTCTAAAGTATAGGGAAGTTGCTATTTCACCAGCTCCATAGTGCTTTGATTTAACAGTGGGTTGCTGAGCTTATATTTCTATGTAATAGAATTTGTTATTTATGTTGCTTCATAAAAGGAAAATATTTTCATTTGTGTGAGGTGTATAGGCAGGTACTGGAATCTATTGTAGTTCCTCTGCTTCAGGGAAGGATTGGGAGGAAGATGAGAGAGAAATGCTACAATGCACCTAGCAGCAAATTTAATTTTGATGGGTGGAATGAAGTCAAAGGCTTTAATGTTGCTCTGCTTGGAGTTTATTTTGTAATAGTCACTTAGGATGCTGTGCTGCTTTCCTCTATTATTCAAGAAGACTGGAATTTTTATTTTTAAATTGGGGAATGTGCAAAAGGAAGCAGGGTAAAACAATGACATCAGATGTGAGCAAGCAACTCATAATGAATTAGTATCCAAGAGACATTTTAGCAAACTGGTTTGCTGTTGCTCATTTTACTGATAGCACTGGCTATTTTTTTTTTTTTTTTGTAAAAGGGAAACCAGATTCTCAGCAGCCTTTCCATTGAAGAATACAAGGTCACACTGAAAATGATAAAACAAGCCATTCTTGCCACAGACCTAGCACTATACATAAAGTAAGTCAAAGTTTGGCTGGATAGTCATTGCTGGATGTTTGAATTCTGTCAGCATGCTGCAAAAACTTTTGTTTTTTTTCCTTAAAGGAGAAGAGGAGAATTTTTTGAACTTCTGAGGAAGAAGCAATTTAATTGGGAAGATCCTACACAGAAGGAGCTATTTTTGTAAGTAAAAGCAGAATGATGAAGTCGTTAGTTAATATTATTAGGTACCTGATTTTCAACGCCATGTTGCTGTGAATTTCATTAAAACCAGCAGATCTGTGTGCTCTGGGCTTGTACAAACTGGCACTACACATAGTGGCCAGTCACTGAATGACTCCCTGGGTCTGAATTACAGACTCTGCAACCTGTACAATAAACTTTGTTAAGTAGCACATGGAGCTATATGAACATTTCTGTTCTTCCCAGAAGAGTGTAGGGTTCTTGCCTATGTAGCATGTTCTTTTGCTGTGGATACTTCATGTTTCAATATTGAATTGCTGAAACTAATAGCTAAAGATTCAGGACAGGCAGCTTGTTTTGAAGCAGATTCCTTAATAGCAAGGAAGAAAAGAAAGCATTAAGAACAGAGACATATTGTAATGCACAGCTACAGAAAACCAGGCTTACATAGGCTCTCTTGGAAAGAAAAGATGCCATATATCAAAGTCAGTGCCTTTAAAAACCAGTCTAATTTAGTCATGTTTTATATCTATTCTTATTCCAGTTCTTGGCCCTCATACTGTCAATAAAACGGCAGTCACTGCTAATGTCATAAATAAATAAATATGATGTCCGTCCAGTAGCAAATAGAATGAAACAGTTCATTTGATGTGAATCCACCAAATAAGCTGGTCCAGCTTTTCTCATTTCTGCATGCTCATTTCACACAAAAAGTCAAAGTCTGCTGCATCACTGAGCCTTGGATACCTTTATAACTTTGCTTTAACTTGTTTCTTTGATGTTCCTTGAAATTTTATACCGTTTTATTAATCACTTGACTTCATGGCTATATTTCATAGTTTTTTTTCCTGTTGTTTTTTATTTTTTTCTACAGAGCAATGCTGATGACTGCCTGTGATTTATCAGCCATAACCAAACCATGGCCAGTTCAGCAACGGGTATATACTTAATTTTAAATACTGCATAACAGCTTCTGCTTCTTCCATCCAGTCTGTATTGCAAAAGCAGTGGTGGAATGCTTAGGAAGTACTCCTTCAAAGTGCTGTATGTGGACTTAAGACTTTCTCAGGTCTTTGTAGTAAGATCTGTGCATTTAGCTATGTCACCATGTTAGCAGTAACCTAAAGGTGAATCAGGAATCTTTGTTCTTTCCAACATTTCTGTGTTACTAGAAGGCAATAGTCAACTGATAAAACACCTCAGTATCAGTTGACCTTTTTCTGTATTGATCATTGCAGCTGATATCAGTGATAAGATGCTTATGTGCCATTTTATTCACTTTGCTTTGTCAGAGTAAATATCAGCACGCCAGGTGTTTGGTTTGTATAGAGATGTGTGCATGAAGAACCCTAAAAGCTAGTTGTTAAGCTGGAGAGTTTCATTATGGGGGGTCCCAATTCAATATATACTAAAGAAAGACAGGAAATAATAGTTTTGGTTGTAGGTAGCTAGTGAACTTTTAGGGCGCTCAATGTGTGAAATCTCTTACAGATTGCTGAGCTTATAGCTACTGAATTCTTTGACCAAGGAGATAAAGAGCGGAAGGAACTCAACATAGAACCAACAGTAAGTGACAAAGTCATGCATAATCACCTCTTTCAAAATGGCCTCTACAAATGGCACTTCACATCATTACTTTCAAAAGCAACAATTTCTCCCACTGACCAGAATACAGGGCCAACTCCTTCCTAGTAGTCACTTTTCTTCTGTGGCTCTCCAGCACCACTCGTGTGGTGTTACCTCTGAGCCAGAAGAATAGACTGCATTATTTCGTCTATATCAGTATTGTCTAGGAAATACATTCCTAAATTGGTACCTGTTTGCAAGCTATGGAAACCCAGTAAGCGTGTCTGTTTGTCTAGCTATTTGGGCTCTGTCATTCCAAAGACAATCTCCTAAGGCAAGTCATGCAGTCATATTACCTCCATTATAACAAATGTACTGATACCCTGCTGTGCTGAGCTTGCTGTGCGTGTTAAGGTGCCACTTTTTAATTGCAGCCTTTCTCTTTGGTTTTGGCTAGGGTTTTATTTAATGCATTTAAACACAGAGCTTGTTTGCTTTTTATCTGCAGGATCTAATGAACAGAGAGAAGAAAAATAAAATTCCCAGCATGCAGGTTGGATTCATAGATGCTGTTTGTTTGCAACTGTATGAGGTATGATGCCTAAGCAAGAATTGCAAATATCTAAATCCAGAACTGCTCACTGTAGCCTGTGACAGATGCTAAATTAGAATAAAAATCACATAGAAAACGACTCCCTTAGTTAAAAAAGGTTGGGTTTTTTTTGTATTGCTATATATTGCACATGATTCATTATTCAGTTGAAGAAATTATTACTTTAGCATTTATCATTAATGCTATATTTGTCTGATTAATGCATTTTGATATAAGAACATGTTGCCTCTTACAGCTTTCAGTGTATCACTCTTGTCATCTTGTCCCAAAGTCTGACTTGAACTGGAACAGCACATGGTTGACAGTGTCTGGGATTTTTACATAGATTCAGAATATGCCAGCTTGTGTCCTAACCCAACAGATAAGTGACAGTGACTTACCTACAGGGCAGAGAGCACTAAAAAGGATGGGGAGCCTTATGGGGAGGAAGCGGCAAAACCAGTAACAGCACTGGTAAATTCAAGGAAGGGCCTATGGTTTGAGCTGATCCAGTGTTTTGTTTCTTTTGACTGGCGTGCAGGTAGGGAATATTACCTGCTTACACAGATTTTTGTTTTCTTTAGTAAGTAATAACTGGTAAAACATATACACAACTGCAGTGTTACTTTGAAAATGAACAAGCAAACAGTTCACTCACCCAGTATTCAAATGCTATAAAAACAAACAGTAACAAGGGTTGTAATGACAGCTTTTTCACAGTTTTCTTCACTTTCCTTCAGTCAGTAGGAATGCAGAAACATAAATGAGTTCCCAATACAGCACGGCAAGTATGTGACTTACCATGTTATTCAGAGTAGGTCAGGTCCCAGTGAATTGAAGTTTTGTGGCATGTGTTAGCTAGGTAATCAGTACAGTTAAATTGAATGATCTACAAGTCTTTAAGTGAAAAAATAAAAGCAATGTGTTTCATTCTTTCTATTTTTTTAATTGAAAAAGTACCATTTAGCATTTTTAAATGCTGTTTAGATATATACAGATAAACAAAACAGGAAAACTACAGAGATGTCAGACCTATTCTTATAGTGTAAATGAACAATAATTCAATTAGGTCTACTGGAACTAATGCAGCAGCCTATAAAACCAAAAGGATCTATGGAGATGTATACAAGCTGGGAACTCAGTAGGGTCTGAATATAAAGTAACAGGAGAACTAGACATTGCTACCTCAAGTTATTTCAGCAAGACCTGAATTGCGTGTGAAATTTTGACTGATGTTACATTTTGTATAGTGACCAGCAGAGGGGCCAGGATTCTTCTCTGTGTACTTTGCAGTTGGTCATAGTAATTACAGAATCAGTGGGCTCAAACACTCTATCCATACCTCAGTCTAATCTGCACTAGTGCCAGGTAATTTTGTTCATGTTTGATATGCAGCAGGAAATCTTCCTTGAAGTTTAAAATACATGTTAATTTTCAATTAAATATACACCTCATATTTAATTCATTCTGGTCTCTCATGGTAATCTTTAAGAACACTTACTTTGTTGTTAAATTTAATACGTTTTATATATTCTTGATTTATTTCAGGCCCTAACGCATGTGTCAGAGGCCTGCTACCCTTTACTGGATGGCTGTAGAAAAAATAGGCAGAAATGGCAATCCTTAGCTGAACAACAAGAGAAGAATCTGATTAATGGAGAAAGCAATCAAGCCAAACGGAACTGAGATGCTGATTTAACAACCACAAGCTTGAGTTCACATAGAAAACATAGTAATAGGGGAGTTCTGCATTTTGCTAAACACTGTATGAATTTGGCTTATGTTTTGCCACTGCTGTATTATTTTTCCACATTTCAAGATATAGCATGACCATGTATGTGCCAAGGTTATATACAGAGTGTGTTTCTTTTATTACATCTGATGGAGATGGAAAAAGATCTGCAAAGGTATTTTTTGCTACCTTATTCTGTGAGAAGGTACGAGTGCAGTTACTCGACTGTCCCCAAGAGCCTATTTACAGATGTATATAGTTGTTTAGTGATCGTGTTGTGGCCAGTATCTTAAAGACTGCTGCATTTCACATATTTTTTTCCTCTTCCAGTCTTGTTGCATTACATTTTAAAAGTAATGAGCAGTCTTGCCTTTTCTCTTGCCAGAGGTTCAGAGGAAGGACTGGGACTACCTCTGGGAGACTAATCCCGTATATACTGTGCTAACCTCTTTCAGGAGACAAAAGTGGGCTTTAGAGTGAAAAAGTCCCAGAATCTGTGCACCCAGTAGGTTTTATTCACACTAGAGAAATACCTTAGCAAATGTCTTACATTTAGAGAAATAAAATAAAACACAGCAAAAACCAAACCTGTGAATTACTAAGCAATGGGGGTCTTAAGAATTTTGTGGTAGGAGTGTCATAAATATCCATGAATAATGAAAATTACTTGAAGGTCAATAAAATGTCACAAGATAACTGACAGCTCTCATAGAAAGCTGCAAGAAGCACACAGAGAAATAGAAACTAAACAAGGTCATTTTTTATATACTGGTTTTAACTTCCTTTGGAAGTTGAATTTAACATCATCTTAAACAAAAGACTGAATCATGGGCAGGAATAGTAGAAGAGACTATAACTGCAACAGCAGAGATGAAAGAGAGAAATCAGAACGATGCAGAAATGGTGTCACTTATGGTGACTATCAATGACTGATTCTTGAGGCCAGTGCTATTATGAAATGGCTATGACCACTAAGTTTTATGTTAACATATTTTAAAAATCATTTTTATCATTAGTTAATGTTAACAATGATTAATCACAATACCTTAAAGTAATAGGATAAAAAGAATACCGAAAGCAAAACCAGCCAAGAATGATACAGGGATTTGCCATTTTTATTTGAGCCATTAATGTTCAGAAAGGTAAGAAATCTATTGACTTGCACTAGTAAAAAAGGTAACATTGGTATTTTATTTAAATGAAGATGGCTAATAAAAATTGTCTTTAATTGGGAGACAATTCAAGATAATATACACATTAGACCAACCCCAAGGTACAAGGTATTCCAATAGTCTGCAGCATTTCTGCCAACCTAAATTATTTGTCACTGATTAAATCCTATGTCAAACTTCCTTAATGACTACCGATATTGTAATTACTATTATGCAATATTATTGCAGCTGAATTTTGAAAAAAATTCTACAGAATAGTTCTCATTATTTTCCAGATTAAAAAAAATAATGGAATTAAACAATAATAAGACTTCCAGGGCTACTGTTATGCAGTGCTCCATATGTGTGCTTACATCACACACAGTACAATGTATGTATCACAGTATCACAGTATGTTAGAGATTGGAATGGACCTCAAAAGATCATCTAGTCCAATCCCCCTGCCGGAGCAGGAACACCTAGATAAGGTTACACAGGAACGTGTCCAGGCGGGTTTTGAATGTCTCCAAAGAAGGAGATTCCACAACCTCCCTGTGCAGCCTGTTCCAGTGTTCCGTCACCCTCACTGAGAAGAAGTTTCTTCTCAGGTTTAAGTGGAACCTCTTGTGTTCCAGTTTGTACCCATTACCCCTTGTCCTTTCATTGTTTGCCACTGAGAAGAGCCTGGCTCCATCCTCGTGACACTCCCCCTTTATATATTTATATACACTAATAAGGTCACCCCTCAATCTCCTCTTCTCCAAACTATAGAGACCCAGTATGTATGTAGTATGTCACAGCTTTTGAGAAAAATGACAGCAGCCTGCCCTCCCAATACACTCTCCAGAAAGAAGTTTTTTGGTACTTCTTGATAAACAGGAAACTTTGCTTCAGGATTTGCATAGTCCTTGTATATTCTTTTCCTTGAATGCTTGAGATACTGGAATGTAATTATTATGGTAACTGATGACATATTTAATATAAATATTATTAAAGTGTATGTATATAAAGGTGTATTCTAGCTAGTACAGTTGAGACTAGTAATTCACAGCGACAGCATGGCAAATCAGCTACAGTGATACTACAGTGTAGTGACATGTCATTTCCATTAAGATCCCAGCATTTCTTTGCTATATTGTGTGTTCAGCAAACCTTTAGTATAACATAAATTTATAGCTATTACAAAGGAGCGCTGGGCTCATACCTGTGACTTGAAAAAAATGGACATGATATTACATTTTTTCAAAGGTTCACATAAAATTAACAGTTCTACATTATGTGCATGTATCTAATTAAATATCTGTACACATCCCACAGAATTTCTTCCGCTACAAAGATTGGAACATACATAGAAATGTGGTTCCTAGAAAATGAACCATTTAAATTTCATAATACCTGTATGTATTTTTACAAAACCAAACCCTTTAAACTGTTGTTTTGAGAACCTTAAAAGCATAGGCTGTTGTACTTGATAAAATTTCAGTGATCAAATTCTTCATCTAGCATTTTACTCTGCCTGAAGGCAAAGTCAGAGTATGCTGGTTTCGTGTTAGCTTTGTGTGAACTGTTTGCAGAAACCAATCAGTCCTTTCATATGTAGGTAAGTGACAAGGGAAAAAAAAAAAAAAAACAAAAACAAAAAAACGGGTTGTTTTCTGCCTGGAATTAATTGCCTTCAGAATTCAGCATTTTCAAACATAGCTCATGGATTACAGCCATACAGCTGCCATTAATTTCATTATGAGTTTTATTTTTTTTGTCAGGTCTCAAACATATTCTCCCAACTTAAATTGTCTACCTAAAGTAATTGGTGTGGATCATATAAGAAACAAGCTGCAATGGAGTTTATCAGTTTGTCCGTTCAGTTTTAAGTCCATTAGAGCCACTGTGAAATTTTATATTTAAGTTTTCGGGTACAGGATTTGTTCCATTAATTTGTAATACTTGCCTCAATGAAGACTTCTAAGTCAGTAGCCCATTTGTTCTCAGATGTGGACATATTTTCTTTAAAAGTCACTCCACAGCACAGTTTAATGCTTAAAGTACACTTTGCTCTGTGCTTTGGTTCCCCTTCTGAAAAAATTTCTTGTCATACGTATTAACGTACACAAAATAACCCTACCTCTTCTAAATAAAATTAACAGTGAGTCTCTAAAGCTGTTGTAGTACCTCTTTTCCAGCAATCCAATCCAATATTGGCTGTAGAATGTCTAGGTTTTGTATTATCTCACACAATAAAGAATGGAGGGGTAACATAACATAAAGTTGATTTTGGAGATGGTATTGATTTTTCATTAGTAGCACTTTAAAGTTAAGAGGAGATTACTCTCCTATCTTCACAGAATACCAGGGGCTAGTGATAAAAGTGAATGCTCTTTCATTGATGACCAGATGATCTCTCTTTAGAAGAGAGGGCTGAAGCCTCATTTTATGCATCACCCTCCAGCAACTGTGTGCATGTAAAGATAAACTTTTGAACTCCAGTTCAGTGCACTTTAGCTGGCAGTGGCACAGACTAAATCAGAACACTGTCTAATTTCTACATAAGATTTCTCAAAATTACTAGGTAACTGAATTTCCAATCCATTATGCAGAAGGATTATGAGGAGTCATCCCTAGCCCCTTAAAATTAGGAGATGTTGCTCAAGTCATCTCATTGGTTTCCCAGGCACATCTCACACTAGACCATGTCGCCCATGGCTCTGTCCAAGCTGGCCTTGAACACTGCCACGGATGGAGCATTTACAGGTTCTTTGGGCAATTTGTGCCAGTACTTCACCACCCTCACAGTAGAGAACTTCTTCCTTCTATCTAACCTGAACTTCCCCTGTTTCAGTTTAAACCCATTCCCCCTTGCCCTACTGCTACAGTCCCTGATGAAGACTGCCTCTCTGGCATCATTGTAGGCCCCCTTCAGATATTGAAAGGATGCTCTGGGATAAGCATGAACATTAGAGCTTGAATAACAAAATTAGTTTGGCCAGAGTATGACAAATGACAAGGATTGAATTTTTTGGTTTGGATTTTCACAGGAACAAGAAACACGACAGAATCTGGCCTGGTAATCAGTGACACCTGCTAAATGCAGCAAATTGTGACAGAAAGATACCTGATCTTTATCATTGCTAGATGAATGGAAATTGCATAGGAAAGTTTATTTTCCACATTTTGATAATGCTCTATAATATTTCCACTATAATATTTTGCTATAATATAATAAATAATATTTCCACTAACTTTCACAGCATGAGCTTGTCATGCCAGAGCCTAAGGCATGGTCAAATGCCCATTTGAAGTCAACTATATGATTCCCATTTAGGTCTGTGTGAGCTGTATACGAAGTGATGGAATGAGTCAAATCCACCTTTTTTTTTACCTATAAAGAGGGACCAAACTCTTACCCTTGGTAACATCTGCCTCACCTGTTCTTTGTTGTATTCAGCTATTCTTGCTGATGCCTGAGGTACCTTACAGATGTAACTGAAGTTAGAATTTGAGCCCCCTATTTATTCACATGGCAGACATCTGCATATGTCTCAAAGAATGTAGTGTGAAATGCACTGTAAATAGTTTTAATATATATTTCTATTATAGTTTAATAAAAATCTAAATCACAGTCACTAGTCACTGAGTTTGTCTATTTGTATTCTTTTACTTTTTAAAAATATTTGAACAAATGCATTGTTTCTGGACACAGTATTTTTGTACTAGGTTAAGGGGGTTACTCTGCATATTATGTTTTGCCTTTAAGCAGTATTAAAGTCTTCTGAATGTTACGATGTCTTGCTTGCTTCTGTCCTATGACTGCTTAGTAAAACTAATTACATAAGGGAATCATTAGTACTTACTGTACAGCTAAAAGAGAATATAGTCAGGTTATTCTCTAAGGTCAAACTGCTGCTTATTACTTATTTCCTCATTCTTGTCTTTGTACTGTTTTCATGCTTTTTAAAATAAAAAGGATGATGTCAAATTTTACTGTTTTCAACAGTATTGAGGTTGTATTTTCAACAAGACATTGTTTACTGATTCAAATAATTCCTTGTGTAAATGTGTATTTTATAATAACTTCTGTCAGTCCTAGAAATCCAGAAGAGAAAATCTTTACTATTAATATCAAGATACTTATAGCCTAAGTACTACTTAAGTGAGCCAGTGGTACAGTACTTCTCATTTAAAAACATAAAAAAATAATTCACTGCTTCTAACCACCAGAGAGCACTGTAACTACACTTACTAGCTGTCAGAAGCCAGTTTATTTATTGGATAAGTAGAACTAGCAAATACAATTGTTATACAGATCCATCCTCTTACCCCAGGTATCAAATATTCCTGGAGTAGCACATAAGAGAGATGCGAATAGTCAACCCCATGCCTTTAAGCAAAAGTGTGACAAAACTATTTTTGACAAAAGCCTCATCCTGTGTGAGCTGCTGATCCTAGAAGTAATTCTAGACCAATGGATTTCCTGTCAATTTCTCTTCTTTGCCTATTAGTTCTCCACACCAACACTTCTGGCTTTTTTAGCTGTAGGCAAAATCAGAAAGTATGT